AGACCGCGCTTTCGTTCATTTTTCGTCGCACGATCGCCGCGCAGCCACCTTCGCGCGCTCTTTCGATCAAGGACCTGCTTCTTCTATCAGGTCGTCGGTCCGTCGACGCCGTGTTTCTTCCTCCCGATTCCCCTCTGCTCGCTCATTTTTCGTCAATCCACCAGCACGATCCGTCGATCAGTACTCGAATCTTTGCGTCTATCCTCCGACCTGTCCCGATGTCGTTAGCTCTCGACGATTCCACTCGCGAGTACCTTTCTCAGCCTCGATTAGACCGCTTTCACGACCCGTCGCATCTTTCCGTGAACCTGAAACAGACAAAGGGAAAACAACATGAGAATTCTCCCGTTAACGCAGGAAGATTGTCCGTTTTTATCTCGCGAATCCGTCGCGCGATACGTCTAGCTGCATTTCCTCTCGCTCCATTTCCGCCACTGTTCCGCCACTCCGCGAACTCGGGGTTTCCAACGCCGCGCGAAATACACGGGTTAGCTCCCCGCTCGTGTAATTGTCGATCATTCAGCGACGGCGCTCACGCGAACGTTCCGCCGGTATAAACGATTTAGCAATTTTTCGTCAGCGTGCAGTACCCCGAGTCTATATTTAGCCCGGGGAAAAGCGTGATAAAGAGGCATGCGAGAGAGGGGGTGGCGAACAGAGGGGTGTGTGATTTCGTGGCCAGACCGGAGGCTGGAAACAGGGCCGAGCTTTCATCCGTGACCTGCGAGAATGTTTACCGCTACTTGATCAAAGGGGTTTCGATCGTGAAACGATCAACGCTGGGATGTAGCCTGGCCCCCGGATCCCGAGCCTCGGATTTTGTCTCGTTCACACCCCTTCTGCGTCATCGTAGCCGTCGATTCGGTCGTCGTCGTAACACGTGTCAGGGCCGATAAACCTTGCAACGTCGTCGCGTATCGAACACGGGGCGAACCGCTCGTTTACGTCGAAAACGAACCGCCCTCGTTTATTCTTGACTTTCGATATTCCGAGCTGCTAACCGAGTCAGCCGCACCGTCCGATCGGTCCCTCGATTTCCCAGGCCCTCGAATTTCCATACACGGGCCGATGCTGGGTCGAAGGAACTCTTGCATGTTCCTTCGATTCATAGTCCCCAGCGAGAAGCACATCGGAGATAGCGAGACACGCTGACGATGGCCATTTTTACACCGAGCTTTCGACCCCCTTCCCTCGGGAAAGCTTCCAAAATTTTTACTCACGTCACTCCGCTCGTATCCTCGCTGTTTCGCGCACCTGTTTCGAAATCTCCAGCCTGAACCTGGCAGACCTGCCGGTCTATTCACCGCGAATAGAGGTAGTAATTATACCCAGGAAGATTTGTCGGATACGGTTTGGATTGGAAGGCGGTACGACGGAGCTTATGACTTCTGACACGTGTACGCCTCGAATCGGACTACTTGCAGAGCGTTTGCCGAAAGTTTGCCTAGCATTCGCGCGTACGCGATTAGGCTATTAAATCGACCGAGTGTGCGGTTGAATGGATGCCTTGCGGCCTGTTCCGGACTGCGCTGTGAATCGATCAGATCCTCCGGACGGGGCTACCGTCCGTTTCCATTTCTGCCCGTGCAACTCCTCGGCGAATAATCGCCCTCCGAAAACGCGATGTTCCAGGCGACATCTGTTCCGAAACGATTAACGTTTCGAATCGTCTCGCGAGCTCGAGGAACTTACTAGAGCGGCGAATTTTTCGGGAAAAATCGCATTGCAGTCGCATCCCTCGTTTTACTCCGCCTCATTTGCATCGTCTCGAACGAGGCAGACGCGCGGGGAATTTAAATCGATCGGGGCACGCGTCGCTGCGAAATTCCAATCGCTGGCGCGACCAACTAATTAAATAGCGATTAGAATGCCGGGGAAACTTGCTCCTCGTTCCGCGAGTAATTCGCATTTTTCCCATCGGCGTTGCAACAATCGCGAAACGCGTCGAAACGCACGGCGAAGTAGTTCCTCCGGATATATACGTCCTCCGTCGAGTAACTTCTCCAAGTTCCTGTGGCGCTTAGATTCGCGCGTACGACAGCTGCCTAAGTGGAAATCGTTTCGCGGCAGCGACGATGTCTCGGTGAAATAGGTACGATCGTGCGAGGAATGCGTTATTTCGTCGCGAGTGGTCGTGATTGTTCGTCATTCGATGACAGCATCCCGTGCCAGAGAATTCGGCTGCGTATTTCGCGGAGGAGGCTTGCGATGCTTGGCGCGACCTGTTAGAATCGACGATAATCCTGGTCGAATGTGAGAGATGTCCCGTTAGCTCGGACACGGAACACTAGCCGTGGAACACTATGCGTGGCTCGCGACGATATCGCAGCCTGTTGTTGCCCATGGACCCATTAACGTTCGAGTCGTCGATGGTGTTTGGCTTGAACTCGAGGATTCCTGCCCGTCGACCGGCTGGCGGAGATGAATGGAAGCTCGACGACGTTACTCGGGGTTTTTAATACCGATCGTTGAACGAACGAGATCGATTGGACGTTGGAGAAAGGAGGTCGAAGATAAGGGGATCGCGATAGACGCGTTTTGACTGGGACAAATTAGAAAGCGTTATCTCTCGCTGCTACCACGGTTTCATTCTCTCTCGATCCTGAGACGGAGGAACTGTGCCGGTGAAACGAGCGTAATTTATCAAGCGACGAACCTGTTTAACGGATGAAATTATAGAAGACTCGTAGGTCGAACGTTCCACGATAAACGCGATCTTTTATCGACTTTATAGATTTAGAGGATAACCGTGATCGATTAGCCTAGGAGCTGGAAGGGAAGAAGACTTCGATAAAAGCGGACTCGTCTCTTCTCCATTAGATGTAAAAGCTGACGTCGCTTTCGATCCGTCGGAGCCCTTTTCCTACGTACTCCTTGTCTGCTCTGACTCCACCCGAACACGTTTCTCAGCGAAAATCTAGCGAGATGAATAATCTCGAGAACAGAAATGGCCGACCGGGAGGTAACGCGAGGGCAAACAGCTAGGCCAGCAACTTTTAGTTCCAGCTGCATTAGCGTCGTCGTCGTTGTCGGGGTCGCTAATCGAGCTTTCCTTGCTCGAACCGCGTAACAACCGTTCCTCACGAGCACTTCCGCAATCGCCTTTACGACCACTTATCCGACTCTCGCTGCTGATAAATCACCGTCCTGTACGATATGATTCGCGAGATATCCCCTGTTGACGGGATGTTTTTCGCAGTCGGGGGTTGTTCGGGACAGCCCCGTCGCTGGCACGGGACAGCGATAGTGATTTTTGTCGCACGGAGTGCAAACATTTTCCCGAGCGCAAACACAATCCGGACTGCCGTCGCGTAGCGAGAAATTCGGTAAACAGGCGTGGCCACGCGAAACTTTGCCGTTTACCGTTGGATTTGTCCTTTGATTTCGCCGGTTCGGGCCAACGGGTGAAAAAGGCAAGCAAATTAACGGAAGGAAAAAACGCGTTCACCGTGCCGTTTTCCATCTGTCCCGTGTACCCACCGGCTCGAATTCCAATTGGTAATTGACTTTAACGAGTGATACCGATTCCGTTCCATTTGCAGCTCGATGAGCGAATCGAAGTCGCGGAAAATGAGGTTCCAGTCGCCAGAGTTCGCGACAAGCTGGTATCTGCTGCCGGAATAACGAAAAAGGGAAAAGGAAAAAGGAGCCAGAAATGGGAATTTAATTTGGGAACGGGCATCGATGGCTGGGAAACCGTTTCTCCCTCCCAGACATCCAGAGATCGAGGGAGAAGAGAATACGGAGGCCTGGAAGCCAGGGGCTGAGATCCGATTGGGCGAAAGAGAAGAATCGATGTCTCGACGAGATCTTGGCGCAGCCTAGACATCGGAATGACGACTCTGGGCCTGGGATATTGTCGGGACACGTGGGTGTCGAACGCGAAATTGAACGGAACAGACTTTGACTCCCGTAGAACTATCGCTTTGCGGATCTCGCGAGGAATTGCAATGACAGGAGCTTCCGAACGAAGGAAACCGTCTGGCACGAACGCGAAATAAAGGTTAAACTAGCGAGCAACGCGGCAAATTCAATTACACCGTCCTTCCGTTCGATCGTATTGACTTTTCTCCGACCACGGTGACGCGAAACCGCTTCGTTGGACGATCCTACGACTCGAGGATGAATCGTGACCGAGTGTTTTCTCTGGAGCGTCCTCCATGGAGGTTTCTCCTACAAACAGCCTTCTCCAAGCGGTCCTCCTGCATCCTCGACGCGACCGTCTATTTCGCGGAATTTATAAATTCATATTTTGCTGCTTTGCCTCGCGGAGGGTTTCGAGGACGAAATAATTTAAGAGGAAATCCCGGACTACCCCTCGGGGCAACGACACTCGGGAATATCGACGAATCGCGCTGAGCGTCGATGAAAAATTGACAGGAAATGGCTCGCGCGAAATAGATTGCGCGCGCGACTGGACAATCGGCGATTTCTAATTCGTCGCGCAATTACGCGAATCTACTTTCGTATCGTTACATTTCCGGACAGCCGTGATTTTCGCCAAACTTGCGCGATTCGGCTCGGTGTTTTCCATTGACAACGATCGCGACCGAGCCACTGGTTACGCTTTCACCAACCCTCGACGAGTTTC